GCGGCGCCCGGCGGGCCAGGCCGCCCGCCCGCCCGGCCGGTGAGTGCGGGGCGCCCCCAGGAGAGGGCCCGGTCCTGTCGGTGTCGCGTTTCGGTTCCGTCCCCGTGTAAGGCCCCGTGAGCGGCGAGCTGCGCCGCCCTCCCGTCCCACGTGGAGCCGGGGCCCTGCTGCCCTAGCGAGCGTGCCGTTTCCTGGCCTCCCGTTAACATCGGGCCCATACGCAGAGCGAAGAGCCCCCTCAGCTGCCCCCATCCTGGCGCTTCTCTCCCTCCCCAGCGGTGCAGAGTCCTGCTGGGCTCCCCGCCTTGCCGTGGCCCTCGGCCTGCCCCGGCCCCATGCTTTCCTGGGCTCCTGTAGGGGCAGCCCTATGTGTCCCCACCCAGAGGGTAGCATGTGGTCTCAGTAGCATCTTTGACCCTAAAACCTTTCTTATTGAATAAAAGAAAAAGTAGCAGAGCGCGTTGCAGCATGTGCTGCAGGGGAAGAGGAGGAGTTGGCTCCCCAGACGGCTGTGTGCTGAGTGGGGCTCTGTAGCGGTGCGCGGGGCTCCAGCGAGGCTGCACACTGCGCCCCACAGGCCCCACACCGGGTGCTGAGGCAGCTTGGCTGCTAATCTGGTCATCAGGGCTCGGCCAGAGGCTCTGCTGTGGCAAAAATGAGCTTGTGACTCTGAGAGGTAAATGGGAGAGGTGCCAAAGGGACACTTGGAAGTATTTCCTGAATGTCTTCAAGAATGGGCTGGGAATCGTGGGCGGGCTGGCGGGGAGCCTTGGTGCCTGTGTCAGTCTGGTTTCTCCCTGCCCTGTTGCAGGGCAGGTTGCAGGTATCTCATGAGCATCACACGTTCAGGCCAACAACTCCACATCAGAGCTCTCCCTGTGTCATTCCCCCTGCTGTGGCTCCACTCTCTCACTGCCACGTGCTACGGACTCAACGTGCCTCAGAGCCACAGGCTCTGCTGCACAGGGATAATGCGGCCGGCGCTCGCAGACTGAGTTTGACCCAGGCAGCCTGTGGGAGGTAACGGGCAAACGTATCACTGCATTTTTATCTAATATTTTTTTCTTATGTCTTAGCAGTTTTACCTAGTAGATTGTGAAACTTCTCTGTGTTTGCATTTGCTTTCTTGTGGTAGTTCTTAGGTTTGTGCTGGGAAAACTTTATTTGTGACAAATCAGACCTCTTCAGCCTTCATTCAGGCCTGTGGCCATTTGCTCAGCAGCCGACTGCCTCAGCTGCAGGTAAAGTGCCCTGGGCTGTTTGGAGAGACAGCCTGCGACAGGGGGGTCGTGTCTTGAGTGAAGCCACTTGGCTCTGGGGACTTGGCTGCCTGAGCTGTCCCTTTGCTGGCCTTTCTTGGATTCCTCCTGAGCAGCAAATTTGGGATTGTTGGTTGTCTCTTTTCCAACTAGAATCTATTTCTGCCCGTGCTTTCAGCGAGGGCTGTTCTATCCGCAGGCTCCGCGACGCCTCTGTACGGAGGAGCCTGGGGCTGCACTATGATTTGGCGGAGGGGTTGCTGCAGTGCCACCAGCTGCATCTTCCTCCATCCCTGGCCAAGGCTCTACTGTCTGATGTTTCTTCCTGCGCAGGTTAGGGGAAGCTGGAGTTGCCCTTCCAGGTTACGTGGCTTCACAGGGGTTGTAGTCCTTCCCCTAAGGCAGCTCTGTGTGTGTTTCTGGAGTCCTGGAAAGTGGCTTTCACATTGGCGTGGGAAGGGTTCTTGTCATGTACTGAAGGACAGACCTGGGGGCTTTTGCTCCTGGTTTCAGGTGTGTTTCAGGAAAAAAAAATCAAGAAAAGAGATGGGACCAAGAAAACTTAAATGTTTTGAGCTAATCAGGCAGATTTTCCTTCCTTGGTACATACTGATGCTTATTCCATTCATGCTGAGTTTCTCATCTTTATCTTATATCCCTGCCCAAGGCTGTGAGTGGGCCAGGATGTCCCAAACCAAGCTTTTCTGTGTTGAGAACCTGCTAAGTCCAGCACTGGAGATAAATTTTCTCTATACTTGGATGTATAATTCTGCTACGCCTCTTCTGTTGGAAAGCTGGATTGAGAACCTTGTCCCTTTGGCTTTCTCCATCGTTGGAGCTAGTAGCATAAAGGTGCTTTAGACACTTCAATGAAATTGGCAGCGCCTGAGGTGGGTGCTGAGTCTGCCCTTTGCTTTAGGCGTCCCTGGGGCACTCCCTCTGCGACAAAGCTGCACCCCTGGGTTTTCCGCCTAATCCTGCGGGTTCCAGTGGGTCGAGCCTTGATCGCTCAGCGCAGCCGGTGCGTGTGAAGGGAGGTGTCCGTGTCGTGCAGGGGCAGCGTGAAGTCACAGCTGGAGCCCGGCAATCCGGGGCCTCCATCGTGTGCCCTGGTGCCCAATGGGCCTCCCTCCCTCCGTGCCCGTGGCGTGGGGAGGCAGAGCGCAGGCGGGAGCTGCGCTGTCCTTGCAGCCTCTCTGCTCAGCAGAAGGGCTGCTCTGGGGAGTGAAGCGCTTTTTGCACCTTCTTTGCTTAGCATGAAGTGAAGTTCAGAGCTGCCACCATCAAATTCGACTGACTAGCCACGGCATAGATGTAGATTTGAATGGCAGGCTCTAATGTAATCCCTGGATGCCTGTGGAATTTGCTGACCCTTCTCAACAGTGGGTGGGTTTTTCACTGTGGTCTGTTTTGACTTATTTTGCAGTCTGTGCTTCATTTTTATCCTTCCTAACCATAAAGGACAGACTAGAATTGTGCCCAGTGGTGCTATATAAAATAGTAGAAAATCAGTTTTTTGACTCCTTTCTTTCTCCTTTCTCTCCCCGATTACTCTCATGACTTTTGGGTGCATGAGGCCGGCAGCACTTTATCAGGACAACTTGTAGCTCATATGTTTGCAAGCTCTTGTTATTTCAAGAGTGACACAACTGTATTTAAAATAGTTTTCTCAGTAAAACTTGCATGACAGAGGCATGGTTTGCACACCCAGGCTCTTAATGGGCTCACTAGTTCTCTTAAAACTGAGTGTACAAGGACTGCAGTGTGAGGAGGAGCGAGGACAGGGAGCACTGTCCCTCCACAGATGCTCCGAGGGGACAGTAAAAGCCGGGGCAGTTGGTGTCCCTGCATGCCTGGGGTGTGACATTTGTAAAGGCTCTGGCAGTGCTCCAGCTGCTGAGTCAAGGCTTGTGAGCTGGCTGTGCAATAGTAAAAGATACTAGTTAAATCACTGTAAGTGGGCGCAGCTGTACGATCACTTAAACAGTGACATCTTTAGCCTCTCTTTATCACGTGCCAGTAAGTCCAAGCCAGATCCAGTAATTAGCAATAATGATGTTTGGACTTGACCTCCAGCCCTGTGAATCTGCCCTGGGAGCAGAGTTGGGCTGTTCCCAGCTCACGTTTCTACAGTAGAGCTTACAGATGTAGTCGTACTGCTGCTAGGGGAGCCAGAAGGGGCTCCTGCTGCATCCTTGTGTAGTTGCGTTGTCAGAACTAGCACTTGTATCACCTTCTTCCAGGTTGGGATGAGGTCCTGGAGCTGGGTTGCAGTGAGGATCCTGACTGGCTGGGCTGGCGCCGTGGAGCCAGGGTGGGAGCAAGGAGCTGAGAGCAGGGAGAGGAAGGGCTACTTAAACCACTGCTGCTGCCCAGCGTGCCCTGTGCCACACTGAGCCACCTCCCCTTGTGGCACCAGTGTTTCAGTGGCCACTGTTATCCTTAGCGCCTCACATCCCCCTTGGGGATGCAGGCATAAATCCCAAACAGGCTCCTTCCATCCATCGGCTGGCACAAGGAGCAGAGCCCCCTTTGCTTCACAGACATGTTCCCTGGGCCTGCTCACTTGTTTCTGAGCTCACTGATGCATTTCGTCTCCTCTCTGCCATACTCTTTCTGTCTCCTTTTATCTTTCCGGCCTTTGCTTTCCAAGGCCTTGGACCTCCTTGGGGAACCTGGGGTAGTTGGCACGTGTTGGCACAGTCCCTGTGCCGAAGCTCCGCGCTGCCTTTCCATTCTGCAGCTGCTGCCCTGTCCCGCTGCAGCTGCTGCTGCCCCGCTAGGCCCCTGTGGCTGCGCGGGGGGCCCGGTTTGCCAGGCCCACCAACGCCGCGGGTTTCGCTTGCTCCCCGCGAGGCTTCTGCTGGCGCTGCTGCTCCTAACGCATCGCGCTGCTGCCCCTGTGCCTGCCACTCGCTGATTCAAATCCCTTGCTACAGCTTCATTAGGACAAATCAAGTCTATTTTTATGACAGGTTGGTTCAGTCATAGCTGCAAATCCCCTGTGGGAGAGGAGATCTGGGGGATTTTCACTGGAGGCGAGTGTTGCAAGGTCACGCAGAGCCAGGTGAGAGCGCAGGCGCATGCCAAGCTCAGAAGGGCACGATGAGGCCTGGGTGAAAGCAAGCTGTGCGTGGGTACTGCGTGCTCTTTCATTAACCCTCTCTTCTTTTTGCTTTGTTCTTTCACATCTACCCTTGCTGCTTTGCTGGGATCACCTCATGGTACAAGCATGCCCGTGGTTCGGGAGCATCACAGAGCGTACGTGGGAGCCAAGCTTAGGTCATTTGTTTACCAAGGGGAAATTTGATCCAGGCAGGTTGTGGCATCCGAGCTGCAGCCTCTTTGCTTTGTGCTAATCGCTGTGAATGTCGTGGCCCTGGGAGCTGCTTGTGGGCTGCAGATTGGGTAACACAATGAGTCAGGTAACGCAGCGCAGCCTGGATTGTGCGCCGTGTGCGTGGGATTCCCGTTCCTGGGGCCACGCACTGCACTATGCCTCGTGCTGAGCTGGCAAGCCTTGGAACCCCTTGGAGCCCCGTGACTCGTGCAGTGAGACACCGCCAAGCCCTCCTTGGGAGCGTGGGGTTTTGCGGGAATGCTTGGCACGACCGCCCGAGCGCTAATGAGCAGCGCAGGGTGGCTGTGTATCCTGTCCGTAATGCGGTACTGGGGATGATATCCGGCTGGCTGTTGGATTCCGACACTTGTCGCCTGGCAGTGACACTGGGGACAGGGAGGCCACCCTCTGAGCAGGGTTGGCAGCAGGCATCTCAAAGCGAGATCTGCAATGAGCAATCTCCTATGCTGGTTCCCTGCTCACAAAGAGCAGAGGGAGGCGACCGCTGAGTGAAGTGTCCTTGGGTTTGCAGGACGCCAGGGACGTCCCTGCAGCCTTCTGAAGTGAGAAAGGGCCGCTGGACAGCACAGCATGGAGCAGACCTGGCGCCCTCCGTGCCTCCTTGCAGAGCTCTGCAGGGTCTGTGCTCTCTTTGTGGACATAGGGCCCCTGTAGGATCCTGCGTGGGCTGCCCCCACCCTTGGCAGAGGCCCTGGCAGTGTCTGGCTTGATGCTGCTTGTCTGGATTGAGCTCGCCCTGGAGAGCGGCAGCCCAATTCGCACGCCAAGTGGGTCTTGTGGGCTCCTTGCTGGGAGGTCTCTGCTGCAGGCTGGCCTTGGTTTCCAGGTGGGAAAGGTGTTTGCTGCAAGAAAATTAAGGGAATAAGTGGTGGTTGATGCTCTGCTTATCCTTTCTCTTTTATGCTTTCTTTTGAATGTGCAAGCTTGTGAGAGCTGAAAGCTGAAAAGCAAAAGAACCAGTAATTCAGCCTGCTTAGGATACAAATTCTTATCGCAGCAGTATCCAGTGGCCCTCCAGGCATGAGTTAAAGCAAGACAAATATCTGGCACGCGGTTTGTTTTCTTTTTTTTCCCCTTCCCCCAGGCAGAAGGATCTTACAGGTGTGGTGCAGTAGTTGATTTTAAGAGGATTTTGGATATTTCATCTGAGCAACTCTGTGGTCTGCCAGGGCTCCTTGCAGAAGACTGGCATAGGATTGCTGTTCAGGAGTGCGCTGTTGCCAGGCTGCTGTAAACGATGAGAGGTTTTTGGAAGCCTGCTTGTTATTTTGCTCTTTGCTTTCTTATTCATGAGCTGTTTAAGATTCCCTGGGCTCTCTCTGAGCTTTCCTGTAGGCTCACAAAAAGAAGAAACTTAGTGCTTTTCAAAGCAAGAGCTGAGCTACTCGCCTGATCGCGCACCCTTTGGGTCTGAGGTTTTAGGCACGCAAGGAGAGTGGTGTCCGGGGCCGGGGTGGCTGGCGGCCGCCGCGCAGGGGGCTCCGGAGAGGCAGAGCCTGCGCGTGGCTCCGGGACGGGCGGCCCAACTGCCTCTCGCAGCCAGCGGCACCGCTTTGTGCCACAGCCTTGCAGCCCTGGCCGGCAGCCAAGGAGCCCTTGGCTTTTATAGAATAAAAGTGTTTGTGTGCACGGGACTTTTCGCAGCCCCTTGTCTGGGACTGTCTGTCGCCTTTGAGCAGCGGCCGAGTCTCGTGGCTGCTTCTGCCTTCGCTGCCTTTGGCTGGAACCGGGCAGCGTTAGTGACCTGCTGGCGCTATGAGCCCTGCCGCTGGGCAGGATACGGCCCCTCTGTCTCCTTCGGAGCCAGACTCTGAGGCCTCCGTGGCCAGGGTGTGCCGGAAAGACAACACGGAGGGTTTGGCTGGCTGCCCAGGAGAAGCTGCGCGCTTCCCGCTAGCCCTCGCTTTACCCCAGCGCAGTCCCCTGCCGGCCCCGGAGCTGCGGGGGGAGCTCTGCCAGGGTCACTGACAGTGCCTTTGTGCTCTCTTCTTTCTTGCAGGCCGCAAAGATGCTGCTGTGAACAACTAAGTTGCTCTTTGTGCTGGCGTTCGCCTCCTGGGCTATGGCTCTACATGGCCTCTGCAGGGCCCGAACGCAGTAACCGAGGCCCTAAGCAGGAGAAGAGCTTCAGGTTCACGTCAGGCAGCCCGCAGGGAGGGAGAGTCCTCCCGCGACGGGCCTGTCCCCTCACTCAGCAGCAGGTGAAACCTGTCTGGAACATAGAAGGGAAGCATGTGAGTACTTTCCAGGATCACAGCCCGCTGCTCTCAGGGATCAGTCCGCAGCAATCCTGCTTCTTGCACCCGCCACCGCTATGCGACACATGCCCTGGTGAAGGCGCTTTCCCGAGCCTGCCCTCGGCCCAGCCCTGCCCGGCTCTCGGTGGGAGCTCTCTGATCTATCGGCGCTTCAGCCTCAGATCCAAGCCCTACCGGTTTCCTTTTCGAAGCTCCCTGGACACCAGCCCTGCCACAGGAAGAGAGATGTCCTCCCTGCTGATAGAGCCCTGCTTGTTGCCTGCACAGGAGCGGCCTGGGCCTGAGGCAAAAGGCTCTGCCCTTGGCTCAGGTAAGCAGCCTTCCAGCCCATACAGACCAGTGCTCAATAATAATTCCTTCCTACGGCCAAGCAATACTCAAGTGCCTTTGCCGCAGCCTCCGGAGATCAAGAAACTGAAAAACATCCACAGCTTTCCTGCTGTCTGCTGGCCCCACTCTGGAGATGGGGGGGACTGCCCCCCGCCGAGCCTTGTGAACATAGCAGTGAAGAACAACCTTGTTTCGGAGCAAACCCTCTCCTCCCTGACCCCGGTGCCCAGCCGCGTGATCCTCAGGAAGGACTATTGTTCCTGGCCGCTGGAGGATGCTGAAGGGAGACTGCAGAGTGCAGAGGACAAGAGGCCAGAGATCAAGCTCACGGAGAGTGTGCAGAAGCTTGCTGGACAGGTCATTGTGGGCGATAGCTTGAGACATGGAGTGCGAGGCCCTCGCCTTATGGACGCGGACAGCTCGTCCCCTAGGAAGAGCCGGTGGGGACAGCACATCATAGCACAGCTCACCCCAAAAGAAAGCATTGCTCCCCTGAACCTAGAGATGGGTAGCCATTGCCTTAATGGTAACTCGAGCCTTACAGGCACTGAGCGTGCCGTTGTCTGCACTAAACGGATCAGTGTTCATCTCCTAGCCCCCCGCACCGGCCCCTCCGAGCGCAGTGCTGGCTGCAAGCTGCTGGATGCCCTTGCCCTGCGCGGTGGGGACCAGGCAGCAAGAGCAGAGCCTCCCCACCTTGCTGCTGTCTCTGAAGTAGCATCTCAGATATCCACCATCCAACTGGAGAAAAAAGCGAACTGCTCCCGGGCTGTTCTTCCAGAAAAACTTGAGTAAGTAGAGCAGCTGGGGAAGAGGGGTGCTCTGGGAGATCCATTGGCCTTGTCTGGTCTTTGTGTCTGTGCAAGTTGTGAGCTGGGAGAGACGAAGCTGCAGGCAGTGCTGCATCTGTGAGCAAAGCCCCTTGGCTGTCCCCTGGCACCGTGGGATCCTTCCTTCCATCCCCAGTTTTACTGTAGCTCTTGGGTTGGTGCCGGGGCTGTGCCCTCCCTCAGCTCCAGGCTCCTTGGGGTGGCTGCTCTTTGGAGCAATGTGAAACTGCTGCATGGTGGCACCACAGCCCTCCCCCTCTCCCGTGGAGGACAGGGGCCTGGAGCAGGATCCTCTCTCCTTCTGCAGCTCCCCTCCCACCTGTAGCATTCCTGGTGTCCCTCTGGAAGCCACCTTTCTCCTGGCTTCCCATGCACTGAGGAGACAGTGCTTGAGACTGTCCACTGCCTCAGATCCGGAGGAGGGGGGTGCCCTTATAGCTGGCTCTTTGCATATTTATGGAGCCCTGCCTGCTGTGGTAATCTCTGCATATGGACATGGATTTCCATGGTGAAACCAACTGTCAAGGCACTTCTGGCAAGGGTTCTGCTGGGCAGAGGCATGTGACAGCTGCAGGAAATGTGGGACTTTAGTGCATAAAAGAACATGGATGTAATGTAGGATGGGGATGCAGGGCAGCAGATTTGGGTAGCACAGGGAGCACAGCTCCCTTCACTGCCCTTGGGAAGGGGAAAAGGATCATATCTTGAAAAAATGCAGAGGCAGAAGATGAGGAGCATGAGAGGGTGGGAAGGTGACCTCCACAAGAAGTTGTAGAACAGGACAACTCTTCTATGCATCTGTGGATAGTGACAGACAGTTAAGAGCAGAGTTGCCAGTAACAGTGTGCAGTCCTATGGGTGCTGAGGCTTTATCTTCCTCCAGCCAGGAAAGGGGCTGAGGAAGGCATGGCCATCTCTGATGGCTGCTGTGATGCTACCATCAGACACCTTCTCCCAGCAGGGTGATCTTCCTTTTTTTCTCTGGCTGTTCCCAAAATTATTTCCTTACAGGGTGCCCAGGTCCCCGGCACCTCACTGGCTGCAAGGGGCCATGCTAGCCCTTGAGGTGGGTGTACGTACGTCAGCACAGGGTGCTGTCCTGGCCCTGCGCACCTACCCCGCACTCCCTCACGGGCGGTTGCTCTGTTGGCCTGAGAAAGCAGGTGGTCACTGTCCCTACGTGTGATGTTCTTTGTCCCAGTGTCCCTGCTGAGCAGTTGCCGCTGGAGCTGAGCCGTCCTGAGGTGCTGAGCCATCCCAAGAGGGAAGCGGAGGAGGAGCTTCCTGATGCCTTGGATGAGAACTTCAGCCAAGAGGAGGAGGAAGAGGATAGTGAGTGATGTCTCCCTGGGAGGGGTGCTCCTTGCCTTATGGAGGTGGGGGAGCGCAGGATGCCGTTGGGGAATGAGCACAGCTCTCCTGTGCTCTGGGGTGGGAGTGCTTTCATCTTACCGGAAATGGCACCCTTCTTACATCCCTGCCATCATTCTGGGATGACTTGTAGATTCCTGTGAATTTGCTTTTAGATGCAGCACAGGGAGGAGTGGCACAGACTCCACTGGGGAACAGCCTAGGGTTTGCTGTCATCCTGCTCTGGTGCTTGTCCAGCTCCTCTGTGTGCAGGGCTATCAGTTCCACCCTGTGCCCTCTGTTTTATGCCACCAAGATGTGGGTGAGATTTGGGATCAAAGGTTTGGGGCAGCAGGGAAGGGTCTGTCTCCAGGAATACTGTCTTCCTTTCCTCCCTGATTAACTCTGTGTGCATTCAGTCTCCAAGGAGATCAAGCCTGTGTGTCTCCCCTCCTGCAGGTGAATCAGATACTTCTGCTGTTGCTGGTCTGTCTCCCGACAGCTCGGTGGCTTTTATTTCCAGGTTAGTAGCTGTAATTTGTGCACTGCAGTAGAGTATCTTTGTCCAGGCCTGTCCATCTTTGCCATCCCTGATGACAGATGGCAGCTCTAGCATGCAGGGGCGTAGAGGAGATAGAGACAGCCTCCCCAACCAAAAAGAACTTTATTTTCTACACGAGAAAACAAAGCTTACTTCTCTTCCTGCAGACAGTAGCCTGCAAAATGCTGAGGGTGTATCCACTGCAGCAAAACAGGAGTCTCAGTTTCACTGCAACTGCCAGTCACTGGGTTAGGTTTACTGGATTAAATTAGGATTTTGCAGTGTCATTGCCTTGCAGATAAACTGGAGCAGGGGCATCCTGGGCCAGTGATCGCAATGACCCCCTGGGCCCTGTCTCAGCGTGGCATCCTAGAAATAAGTACCAAATTCTGGATTTTTCTTTAGTCTTTGAGAAGTTTTCTTTCTGGGGAGGATTGGTCAGCAGGAGGGGCCGCGAAGGGCCCTGCCTCTGTGTTTCCTGACAGCCCTCTGGGGAAGCTCTTCTTGCCCACCCAGCAGTGGGAACTTATCCCTACAGCCGTCCTGTTTGTGCTCCAGGGCTTTCTCACCTTGGGCTTGCTCTCTGCTTGGCTTACTGCTTTCCATCACGTTGTAACTTACTCGAGAGGGGCAGAGCTTATGGTGAGCAAGTGTTGAACCTGAGGATGCTGCATGGTGCTGCAACAGCCTGAGCCGGGATGGCATCCCCTTCTGACGGGGTTCCCTGCACTGCTGCTCACCTTGTAACCAACTGCCTACTGCTGCTTCTCTCCTAGGAACTATGTCAAGTGCCTGACCCCACCAGTTGAGGCTCAGGAGCAGGTGCTCAAACCAGCTCTTGTTTGCAGTTTATTCCCTAATGTGCCTCCAACCATCTACTTCAGTACTCGGGATGAGAGAGGTGAGCTGGGCCCGCTTACCTGCAGCGGGATAGATGTAAACAGCAAAGAGCAGTGCCAGGGCCCAGCCGGGAGCTGGCAGCTCCCAATGCTGAGACCCAGCACCACTGTGAAACCGAAGGGCAGAGTAAAATTAAGGTGGTTCCTGCAGCCTGGAGCATGAGTTAGACTGCTGAGACCAGTATGACCAAGCGCAGCATTTGAAGCAGCATTTGGCAGGGTGTGAACAAATGGTTCAAGATCCTGGATCTCCTGCAGTTGTGGGATCTTCTGCTCCATTCCAGTTCTTTTAAGGAGGTGCATAGTGCCCTCTGAAGGCCTGGTCTCTCTTCAGGCCTGAGTGGTTCATGGCTCTTGTAGCAAAACATGGGAATTGCTCTGGTCGAGAGCAGGTCCCAGTAGGGACACACATGTACCATTTCTGGGCTGCCTGATCCTTGGACGGCGCTTCTGTGTCCCATGGCCTACAAATGCTCATGCAGGTGTTCAGGGTGGGTGCACCTATAGAAACATCAGAGTGTTTTGCTTGTTTTCCTTCTGTCTTTAACTCTTTGCCTTACCAGTGGAAAAGCTGCCCTGGGAGCAGAGGAAGCTGTTGCGGTGGAAGATGAGCACGGTCACACCAAACATTGTGAAGCAAACCATTGGCAGATCCCACTTCAAAGTCAGCAAGAGTAAGTTGTTGGAGGCGGCCAGCATGAGTTTGTTGCATCCTCTGTTGCTTCTAGCCTATGGATGAGAGTGGGAAAGGTGCCTGCCAAGAGCAGAATAGGAGTGGTAGAGGTTGGTCACTGCAGGACACTGTGTTTTGGTGTCTCTCTGTGTCTGACCTGTGGTCTCCAAGCTCCAGGGGTCCCAGCAGTGCCCAGTCTCCCTTTTGGCTTGTCCCTGGCATGAGCAGGCTGTGCCTGGGGGTTCTGGGGTCTGGCCCAGGGCTGTGACAGTGGTATTTGGGTGTTTAGGCTCTGGCCTATTTAAGCTATGCCTCTAGGTGGTGCTGCCACTCTGAAGCTGACATTTGCCCAGTGCCAACCCTGCACTGGTGTCCCTTGTCCCTGTGGTCATCCAGTGTGGTGGGAGATGCCATCCTTCTGTCTAAGGCTGGGGAGCTCTGTACAGGCTGGGATCCTGCTGCAAAAGAGATGTGAAAGAGGAGGCTGGGGAAGTACTGAGCTTTTCAGAGCTTGGGTTGGTATCATGGCATGTGGCCTCCCAAAAGTACTTACGAGGCTCCTGTGTGTATCTGCTCAGTAGCTGATTATTATTATTATTATTATTATTATTATTATTATTATTATTATTTTCCCTTTCCTGCTTTGGGGGCAGGAGGCCAGTGCTCTGTAGCTCACTTCTTCATTCGCCTGCTGCATACACCTAACTAACACATGGGTTAAGGGTGCTCTGCTGACATTGCTGGGGGATTGAAACAATTTCTCTGGCACTGTGTCTGCTCATTTCCCTGCACTAGCCACGATAGCCGGGCCGGGACCCAAGTGGTAAGCTGGATCACAGCGACAGCTCCCTGGGCAGGAGCTGGTGTGATTGCTTAGTGCTTCTGCCCCCCAGGATCCCTGGCATGTTTCTGCCAGTGCCAGGAAATGGGCTGCTCCTGGGTTGAGAAGGAATTGTTGGGATCAGTGAGCTCCAACAACAGACTTTTCTGTCTTTGTGCAGAAAGCAATGACTGGCTGGGCTGCTGGGGCCACCACATGAAATCATCCAACTTCCGGACCATCAGGGAGCACCAGAAGGTAGGGAATGTTTTGGGCTGGCCTGGCTCACATGCATGTGGAGCATGTTGGGAACAATTTGAGTGCCCTTTTCTTCAGAGCAAGGCATCTGCTGTGCAGGCTGTCTTTGCAGAGGCCCCCATCACAGCATGGCAGCTGGTACCCCTGTGCTGGGACGTGAGCCTGGCAGATGGGCACAGCCAGGAGCATTGCGAGCATCTCCTGTGCATGCAGACTCCTGTAGAATGAGGTTGTGGCCAAGCTGTGTTCACTGTGAGCTCAACTAAATCCAGTTAATGTTGTCTAAAGCAATCAGTTTTCTCTAGTTCACCAGCACAGCCAGAGCCAGAGACTGGATGGGCAGCAACTTGCAGCAACTTGAGCTGCAAAGAAAGCATGGAGGTAGCATGTGCTTGGGGAACACTTGAGGGTCCAGAGGTTTGTTATGCACCACACATGCACATTTTTCCTGGAGAAGTGGTTCTCTAAACTGAGCAGTCTTGAAGCAGCATCTGGGATTGGAAGCTAGAAGCCTCCAGCCTGTCTTAGTGTGGGAAATCTCACAAGAATCTCCATTCCTTTCCAGCTAAACCACTTCCCTGGTTCATTTCAAATTGGGAGAAAGGACCGTCTGTGGCGCAACCTGTTGAAGATGCAGACTCGCTTTGGGAAGAAGGAGTTTAACTTTTTTCCCCAGTCCTTCATCCTGCCCCAGGACATCAAGCTGCTGCGGAAGGCGTGGGAGGAGGGAGCTAGCCGCCAGAAATGGATCGTGAAACCAGTAAGAGCAGAGCACAGTTCGGCCCCCTGTCCTGATGCAGCTGTAGAGAGAGAATGTGACCCCTCTTGTTTGTGTGTCTCAGCCAGCATCAGCGAGAGGCATTGGCATCCAGGTCATCCACAAATGGAGCCAACTCCCCAAAAAGAGACCGCTGCTGGTGCAGAGGTGAGTGAAGGAAAACCTGATGGGCAGCCAGACTGGCATCTCCTCAGCTTTCTCTCTCTGGCCAGACTTGGGCAGCAAGATCTGACTTGCTTCTGGAAATTTCTCTCTTGCTTGGGCATAATGGTGCAGCCAGAGGTCTGGCTCCAACAGCTGCAGTTGGAGTTACAAAGAGCCGCTCTCTCTGCACAGACTTTGAAGGACTCGCACAAAGCGGCTCTTAGGCAGGCTTCACAGGAGCAGCTTTTGTCTGGCAGATCATCCAATTTCAGCTCTGTTGTGATCCTTCTCCCCCTGCTTTTTATTCTGGGGCTTGATATCTTTGGAGGCAAGTGTAACTTTTCCAGTGTTTGCAGTCACACTGGAAGCAGAAGTCCTAGGGGAAGAGGTGGGAATTCTCAAAGACTTCTTATCCTAATTAGAACAGGACAGCAACAGTCTGCATGTACATGGAAATTGGTCAAAGGGTTTTTTGTCTTCCTAAGTAAGACTTTCAGAATCTCTTCCATTTGCAGAAAAGTGAAATAGCTTGTTTTGATTTTAGTGGATACCTTCTGGGAAGTTCTTGTAAGTGCAGGAAAAAACTACCTGGTGGTAGGCAGATGGGGTATTGAACTGGTTTGTGTTCCCTTTGTCTCCTTCCTATGTAAGTGAAAAGTTTTCTCACTGAAAATCATGAAGTACTTTTGGGTCAGGGCTGAATAATTAAGTGATTTGGGTGAATGTTTCCAGCTGTTTCTGCTTACTGACCCAAGTCATTTGGGAGTTTGTAGCACACTGCATGCCCTGGATGTTCCTGAATTTTGCAGTCAGTCTTACAGAGGAACTTCTGTGCCTCAGACCTGGGGAAAAAAGTCTTCAGGGTAGGAGATGAGCAGGAAGGAATGCTGTTCACTTGCCTCAGGGTCTCCCCTGTATATGGGAAAGCTTCTGTCTCTGTCATTTAGACTGTGATGCTCTTAACTTGGAAACACCGTATAAAAGAGACTTCACCTGCTCTGAATTTTCACTGCTTGTGCCAAGCCTTCTGTTGTAGGAGCTAGAGAAGTTCCTGCACAGAGACATCGTAACCCTTTCCTGCTGCCTGATTCCATTTGCAGATATCTGCACAAACCCTACCTCATTGGCGGGAGCAAGTTTGACCTGAGGATCTACGTTTATGTCACTTGCTACGATCCCCTCAGGGTCTACCTGTTCAAGGACGGATTGGTTCGCTTTGCTAGCTGCAAGTAGGTTGTGTGAGGAGAGCAGTACTGGGCAGCAGGAGGGCTGCCCAGGGCTGTGCTACTGGCCCAGGCAGTCACTCCCTATATGGAGCTCTAGTTTCCTCGCTGAAAAGGCAGTTGGATAAGTGGGACTATTCTGGGTGGTAGTGTTGGAAAGGAAGGTGAGAGGATGCTTAGTTTGTCCACCTTTTCTAAAGCAAGATCAGCTCGATGTAAAGCAGTTCCTGATATATGCTGCCTATGCTTCATAGTGGGTAAGAGCTGGTGTACCAGAACCTAGTATGTGTTAGCCAGTGTTGGCCATTGGCTTAAAATGTATTGCCTTGGGCTTTTACAGTTCTGTCAGCACTTTTGCTCACTGGTGTGTTGGTCTTTTTAAAATACCTGCAGTGAGGGGAGTTCTCATGTGTCTGCCCCCAAGCAGCGTGCTCTGTGCCTGCTTCACGCTTTGTCCCGTCAGCCATGGGCCAGCAGGAAGAGAAGCTGTGGAGGAGCTCCCTGTTCCAAGCACACTGGGGTGGCTGCAAGGCAGCAAGTCTTATGGGTGGCCAAGAAGGAGAGACAGTGTCCTAGATGAGACAGAAATTCTGCTTGCCTTGTGAGGACAACTAGTTCGAGCTCAGACTGCTTGTGCCGCTCTCACCTCCTCCAGGTACTCCTCCTCAATGAAGAGCCTCAGCAACAAGTTCATGCACTTGACCAACTACAGTGTGAACAAGAAGAATACAGAGTACAAGTCCAACTCGGATGAGAGTGCTTGTCAGGGACACAAATGGTAAGTGCTGTAGGGGCTTTCAGGGCACAGAGACAACTCTGTCAGCTGCTTTTTCAGTACTTCTGTCTAGAGGTTGAAGGTGCTCCCCGTCCTGTCTGCTCCTGCATGGGGATGCCGAGGCACAGAGGAAGCAGAGTAGCTTTTGTGTAATTTAGCATCGGTAGAATCTGGATTCTGCCCGTGGCTCACTGAAGATCTTCCCTGCCCTATGGGTGATACCTCCAGGTTTACCTGCTGGCTACCTGCCAGCACCTACCACCCACAGCTGCAGTGGATCAGCAGGCAGCTCTGGGCCCTGTGTTCCCAGCTCAGGCCAGGTCATTCCTGGAAGCTGCTGCTTCTGTGGCCCACCCTGGAGGCTACTCTGGCATCTCTCTGCCCTGTGCCTCATCCTGTCCACTATTGCTTTGGTTGCATCCCACCCTGCCTGTACCTGTGCTATTGCCTGATTCAAATTCTACTCTCATCTGTCTGCATTCATTCTTTTGCCCTAGTTGGGAGCCAATAGAATGTGGTTAAACTTGAGTCTGAATTTATTAATAAAACTTTCATTGACAGTTCTGATATGTAAGCTGATTAGACAAGAGCCTCTTGCCACTTCACTCCTGATTCCCCAATGGAGCTACAGAAAGGGGCAATTCTGGTGCAGAATTGCTGATTTGTGTGCTAGTGGTGTGGGTGGTGCAGAGTGCTGAGGAGCAGCAGTGCTATTTCTAGTGACCTCAGAGGAGGGCTGTAGCCTTGCGTGGTTCTGCTCCCTCCTGTCCATTGCAGACTGGCCCAGTCCCCAGGCACTTAGCCCTCATTCTGTGCTAGTATCCGAACTCATTTAAAAATAGTGTAGGATAGAGTTCTCAATTTATGGGCTTGCAGCTGGGCTACTTCACTTCAAAGGGGGCTGCAGGAGGAGGGTGCTATAATAGGCTTGTTTCGATGTCTTGGACTTGCTGTGCAGTTGTCTGTTCCCCCACTGAGACTTTGGGAAGGGTCTTCTGTCCCCTGGTGCCTGCAATCCCATGGAGATGGGATTGTGCGAATTTCCAGTATCGCCAGGCAAATCCGAGCTGGCTACTCCTACGTTAAAGATGAGCAGCTGTAATCAACTCCATCTTGTATGCAGGAAGCGTGACCTTTGGATTCCTGGCCATTAGCCACATGGTCTCATTTGAGCAACATCTGAGCATCCTTGGCTCAGTGTCAGGGCAGCCTGCAGCCTTGGTGTGGTATGGGAAACTCCTATAAAAGCAGAGACGCTCCCCCCAACATCATTTTCCCCTGATTTTTCTTTTCTTCTGTCTTCTCCCTAACGCTGATGAGGAAAGCCTGCAGAAAGGAGGTTTGCTGAGGACACAGAGGGCGGGGGAAGAGCAAATCTGGGGCTGACATACCCTGCTCGTGCTAATTTGGGACCTGATACTCCAATGCTGGGACAAGTCTAGGACAGATTTATGTTTCTGGTAGCTTGGTCCTGCAAGGTCAGGGGCCAGGACGGGGAGGGCAGCAGCCAGGAGTTGAATGGTTTGGGAATCATCAAGGATGACTGTTCTTGGAAAAGGTGTGAGATGCACCCTTGCTTGCTGTCAGGGGAGAGTGATGTCAAAACTCGCTCTGTTTTTGTTCCTGTAGCTGTGCTGTGCAGCAAGGGGCTACAAAACTATCTCCTTTGCTTTCTCTCTCACAGGGCTCTCAAAGCACTCTGGAGCTATCTGACCCAGAAGGGAATTAACAGCGAGGCCATCTGGGAGAAGATTAAAGACATCGTTATTAAAACCATCATTGCGTGAGTCCTGGCTCTCCTGGCACCTCTGACAATCGTCCTGTCCCAGCTTCAATATTTCTCTCTAGATCTTTCTGTTCATTCTGTTTCTTAAGCACATGTTACAACAGCTTCAAGGGGTAAATAGAAATGAGTCAAGATCCTGGCTCTAGATGAAGTTTGGGACAGCCTGATTTATGTGTGGGGCTTGTTTTGCTCTGCCAGTGCTGAGCAGCCCATGGGTGTGAGATGGAGCCTTTTCTGCATCGACAGCTGGGAAGCTGCTTTGCCCTTAAAATTTCCAGGATCTACCTGCTGTGGGAGAGGTGCAGAGTACCCTACCAGGATCTACCTGCTGGCTGGAAGGGTGCAGAGTACCTGGTATCTCTGCCCACCTTGTCTCCCACCCCTCTGGGCAAGTTCTTGTGTCTGAAAGAGAATTCTTCCAGAAGCAGGGAACCTGTGTTCAGAGGCTGCAGGTGGTGCTGCTGGATCCGGGATCTGATGCTGGATCCCTGCATGATGCAGCAGTATCTCTGGCTTCTTGCATTGGTCACTCACACCATCTGTTCCCACAGCAAGTGGCCACGTATGCTCTCAAAACCAGCAATGTGCTGCAAACAGGCAGGCCTCTGTTGGCTGGCAACTGGAGAAAAAAGCTTATTTTTTTCCTGTGGCTTGCAGATCTGAGACCTATGTGAACAGCCTGGTGAAGATGTATGTGCGGCGCCCATATTGCTGCCATGAGCTGTTTGGGTTTGATATCATGCTGGATGAAAATCTCAAGCCCTGGATCCTAGAAGTCAACATTTCCCCCAGGTAAAGCAGTCCCTGCTCTGAAATCTCTCTGAGCAGGGTGAATAATGGCCTTTCTTTTACCACAGAGTGAATTTGGCCTGTGATATCCCCTGCACTGCGTGCTGAAAGACTTCGGGTTTTGAAGCCTCCCTCTGCAGACTGCAGGAGCCAAAGTCCTCCCTTCTGCAAAAGCAACGCTTTTCCGCAGCTCCAGCTTTTGTTGGGCACATCCTGGTTAGAACAAGGAAAGAGTATGTCAAGCAGGGATGTGTCATGCGTCAAACAGATGACGACACATCCCTGCTTGGTGTTAGCCAAAGCCATCAGTGGCTCCAATGCCCTGTGCAGCGGTCCTGGTTTTCCAGGCAGGGCAGAGAGCCCTGTGCGAGCACCATCCACCTGCATGGGTGGATGGGCATGAATTGGATGCAGAGCTGTAATCCCAGACAGGGCTCTGGAGCTGGATATGCTGATTTCCAGTAACCCTCTGGGGGAATGGAAAGAATTGAAATGTTTATTGGGCCCCCTACAAAAAGCCACTTCAGGATTTTTCTTATTATCTCATGGCTATAATGGCCATCATGAGGCGAGGGGTGCGTTGGGTTTTGTACCCAGTTGATGTTAATCCACAGGGTGCTCTGTCCTGTGTGGCTCAGCAGCTCCACTGCAGCACATTGTGATCCTTTCTCCTGCAGCCTCCACTCAAACACCCCTCTGGATGTGAGCATCAAGGGCCAGATGATCCGGGACCTCCTCAACCTTGCTGGCTTTGTCCTGCCCAGCACACACAAGACAGCCTCCAGGCCAGGAACTGGAAGCAGCTCTACCTCCAGGTCAGCCCACATCTCTGTCAGGGCAAGGTGGGCTTTTGCTCTTGAGGATTTCATGTGGGGTTGCTTTCAGCACAGTAAACACTGGCTTCTGTGCTGCAGGGAGCCTGTATTTCGTGGAATTTTAGCTATGGGTCTGAGGGACTTGCATCACTGCCTGGGTATCTGGTTCCTGCAGTCTCTTCAAGGTAGAAGGATTGTGCCAGATCTGCGAGTCCATAATTGGAAGAGAGGCCAGAGCCATTCGTGCTTGCTCTGCAGTTAGTCACGTCGTGCCGCCTTCCCCCCCCGAACTAACGTGATGCTGAGCAGCACTGCTGCTCCGTGGGGTCAGGGCCTGCCTGTACTGGGCCTGGATCCGCTCATCCCATCCCCCAGGGCTCTCTTGCCGCCTCCTTGAGCAAGTTGAGCAGCTGTTAATTTGCAAAGGACAGAGCTCCTTGATCATTAGGTAGGACCATGGGTGTCAGAGGCTGCAGACCCCTGGGTGTGCACAGTCTAACTTGCAGCCAGCGTGACTTTTTCCTTACTTATTCACCTCATTCCTGAGTCCCTTCCACCCGGGCACAGCTGGAATGTCCCTGTTGCCTCTGTGTTCGTCAGAATTTCCTGCAGCATCTGGAGCTGAATTTGAGTTCTTGGATGTGTCAAGAAGTTTTTGATCTAGCAGATCTCTCCTTCCTGTGTGGAATCTAGGCCTGTGTTTGGAATTAGAAAGCTGGGTTCCAGGGGGAAATGTAAATCCTACCAGGCTTCAAGTGCTCCATGTTGATCATGATGTGACTCTGGCCTGTCTACCTCCTCCCTGAGTGTGAGATGATAGTTCACCTTTTGGATGAAGTGCCCTGGTGAGGGGCTGGTGGGGCCCTGTCTCTTCCCCTGCCTGCATTCTTCCAGCTTGCTTTGCTGAGGCGTGGGGCTTCAGGTACTTTACTGACCTCAGGATTAACAAAATCGGTGGAGAAAGAGTTTTGTTCCTTAGCAACTTCCTGAGGCATCAGTACTCCCATAGAAGTTGCTGAAAAAAGCCCTGCCATGGTAGGACTCTGCACTGTCTGTACAAATAAACTATTGGATCTTATGTCCTCAGTCTGGGCAGTGCTGTGAAGGAGAAGTCCAAGTCAGCTTCTGAGCTCTTCATAGCAGAGAAGATGAAGAAAGCTTTTTACTTGACACAGAAGGAACCTAATCAGGTAAGATACCATCTCCTCTGCTACTTGCACCATCCTGCCAAGCCACTATCCCAGCTGGTCCCATGTGTGTATTCCTTGCTGCTTTTCAGATTGTACCTCACTTTGGGGACAGCCAGATGATGGGGACCATTTGGGCTCCAGTGGGTTACAAGCCACATGGTCAGAAATAAGACAGGTTTGGTTAAATTGCTGCTGCTCTGGCTTCTCTTTGCTTTGGAGCATACCTGTGCTGAGGGACTCATTACCCACTGGTCCCCAAACAGGACCTGAGCGCTGGCTGTTCCTCTGTGTGGTGCTGTGCAGCACTCGTAGCATTTACCTGCTGACTCTGTGCAAGGTAGCAGGGATACTTGTCTTGTGTGCAAGCTGGCAGTAAGAGGTAGGGCTGTAGAGCTGAGCATCATTTCAGCCCTTTGCAGCCTGGATGTCACCACTGAGCCTAAATTTCTCTACTCTCCCTGTGTTGCCTGTGTCCCAAAGGTCCCAGGCACATGAATGTCTCTGCCTGAAGGGGTTTGGAAACTGAGAAGGAAGGGGCAAAGGGGAATTGACAGACCATAGTGCACTTCTGATCCTGGGATGCTCCTGTCTGCAGGATTTTTATTCTTCCGTGCTGGACGTCCTGACCCCGGATGATGTCCGCATCCTCGTGGAGACAGAGGACGAGTATTCCCGGCGCGGGCAGTTTGAGCGGGTGTTCCCCACACACATCTCCACGCGGTACCTGCACTTCTTTGAACAGCCTCGGTACTTCAACATCCTGGCCATCCAGTGGGAGCTCAAATACTACTTGGACAAACACAAAGGTAACTGAGAGCCTGGCATGGTCACCTGAGCCAGACTGCCTGTCTGCACTCATAGGAGACTTGTGAATTATGCTGACCTACACTGGCTTTCCAAAATGTGTTCTGGTCCCAAACCGCTTTACATGCAGGAAGAAACTTATTCTGAGTTGATCACAGGTGCTGAGTGCCCTGTGTACTCAGCACCTGCGCTGCAGGTGTCCTAGGATTTTCTTGTCTCCATCTGAAGCAGACTGGATTCTGCCTTGAACCTGTAAATGTGGCCCTTACTGCATATATCTGCCCTCTTTAAAGGGAGAAAATGCTCAAGTCATTTGATCTGTTCCTTGAAGATATTTTGTGAAGTGAAGAGAAAATCTGCCCTATTGCTTGGTCTCCTGTTGCTTTCTAGTCTATGGAAAGGTTTCTAAGTACCCAAAGGAGAAAGGAAGATTTTCTTAAGCAGTAGGAATGCAGCTGTCACTTCCGCCTTTCCTGGACACCTTTGATTCAGTAAGAACAGTATTTTAACAAATACTTTTAACTGGGCCAGACCAATTTCTTCTTGTTCAGGATTCTCTAAAATAGCTGGGGAGGCTATTTTGCAAGAAAGAACTAGCAGAAGTCTAACGTGAGGTGTAATAGAGCTTGAAAATAGAAAGTATAGCATGAGGCTCTTTATTGCACATCTGATCTAGCTGGAAAGGTTTTTGAGAGCAGTGACTCTCTGCCGAGCTGGCCATGTATGTGCTCATAGCCTGATCTTAAAGCAGAGTGGGGAAAAATGCTTTTATCACTTCTCATTGCTGTTTAAGTAAATATGAAAGGGGTTAGTAACAGTCTCTCACAGAGAGACAGTAACCTCATAGCCCTGTCCAGCTGCACTGTCAGTGCGTGTCTGTCCTTCCTCTCGCTAATACCTTTGCTGGATCCTCTCCTGTCAGCTGGAGGAAAGATCTTGTCAACATTCTCACTGAAGTGCTGCCCTGAGCTTTGCTGCTAATGCTGGGAACCTCATTCAGTGCTCTAGCCTGCAAAGTAGAATCGCTCCAGCCTGGTGCTGTTTTCATCTCTGAGCAAAACCCAATCCTTCTCTGTGCATTTTCCTTTCACATATGTTCCATAAAGTTGCCGTTTCTCCCTGGCTAGCAAAGTGCAGAACGCTGCCGGCTGCCTGGAGCTGGTGTAGGGCTAGCGTGCTACCCTGGGCAACCAAGACATAGTTTCCTTTCCAAGGATCTGGAGCTTGCTGAAAGGTCAAAGAGGAACAGTTTGACTGGACAACAAGGATTCCTCCTTTAGCCAGGGTTAGTATCGTATAGCGAAACCACAGTAACTCCAGCTGGAGAGCATTAAGTTCCTGGCCCTTGCTTTGCTGGCTCTTAAATCTGAAGGCTTGTGTTGTGTCTCTAGGGATTTTTCAGAAGAAAAAGGCAAGGCAGCAGTCCTCTATTTCTCAAAGTTGCCTCGTTAGTAGGTGGCAGGGAGCTCTGTTGTGCTGGAGACAGCTGGCTGGAGGTGGAATGGGTCTTGGGAATGGCGCCTTTTCCGTGCAGCTGGACACATGGCTCTGCCTTGAAGGGACCTCCGTGTGCTCTGGAGCAGCATGTCCTTGTGTGGAGACTATCTCGAGGGATGGTCCCCGGGGTGCCCACGCTGCTCTCCTGTGGGAAGGAAGCCGATGGCAGCACAGCTGCTCTACATTTGCACTGCAGAAAATTCCTTCAGTGCAGCCCAAATCAGCTGCTTCTGTTGGCAGGCGTCAGGCTCAAGGGGACAGACAGTCTGGTCTAATTTGGCAAAACCGGTGTTGCCCCAGTTTCCCTGTGTAGCTGAGTGGGCCGTGCAGCGCGGCGGCTTTTGGGAGCAAGAGGGAGGCCACGGCAGATCACATGCTGACGTTCAGTGGTGTTTACTTGTACAAAAGGTGAATGCCCTGAATTTACCTTGTGTTTGCTGGGGCCCAGTGGTTTCAAGTGGTTAAGTCATGGCACATGCTGCATGGTCAGTTCCCTTTTGTGCAGGGTTTTTGTGTGCTTTAGCCTTGGAGGACTTGGTTTTCCTCAGACTTTGTCCTTCATTCTTGTTTTTTGTCTGTTTTGTTGCTCTCCAGGTCTGGAGCTACTGAGGAACTGGTGTGACAAAGGATATCACACTGGAGCAGGAGCAGATTTGGCCCAGATGGTGAGTTGGGCTGTGGGTGAATTAGAGAGAGGTTGTTCTCTGCCTGCTCTCAATGCTGTTAAGAGAAGGATTGGGAAGCACAAGCTTCCTGTTGCCAGATGCCCCACAATCCTGGGGAGTTCCTGCCTCGGGGGCAGGCAGGGACAGCCTGTAGCTCTGTGCACTGTCGGGATTCAGACATGCTAATGTGCTTATTTTATCCCCTGTGACTCCTACCTGCTTTTGTGCTGTTCTTGCCTGGGGGCCCTGGCACACAAGGACTTCTCTATCTCCTTCCAGTGTGAAGTCCATTCAGTAAATCAGATCTGCAAATACTTTGCATCTGATGTATCCGAGGCTGCACCCAGTGCACCCAAAGATTTGCCAAAAATTTACAGTCTGATCTGCCCTATATTTCCCTCCATGAGGGAACAATCTCTGTCACTTCCATGTCTTAGAATGGAAATAAAGACTGCTATTCTGGGAGCAGACTGGTGGCAGTGGCAATGCCTGGTGGTGTGAGGGCTGTTTAAGTGCAAGAGCCCCTAGGCAGCCTAACAGAGCCCAGCCCGCTTGCAGTGCAGCAGAGTGAGGGTTTTTGCTACGTGTCAGTAACCTGGGTAGCCGCTTGATTGTCTGTCTTTCCTCCTGCAGTGGTCCCTGCTGAAGTCTGTATTCCTCCAGAAGAACATCGTTCAGTTAAACGGCTTCAGCAAGCTGGAACTGGGCAGACTGGGGTGAGTTTGCCCTAGTTGTGATGTGTAATGTGCTGCAGCTTTAGGACTGCCCTGGCTGTGACATGCACGTGTGTGACGTGCTGCAGCTTTAGGACTGGTGTTGTGGGAGAGAATGGGCACCGAGGCAAGCAGGTATTTAGAAGAGGAATAGGTTGATTTATGGGGTCTGAGCCTCTGGATAGCCAAGTGGTAGCATGGCACAGTGTCTGAAGAACTGGCGTGTTTCCTTGGCATTGTGTGTCTCCACTGGTGGGAGTGAGGCCGGAGGGAGAACGGCTGGGCTGGATGCAGTTTGGAGAGCAGCTATCTTGGGCAGGACGTGCAGACAAGATATTCCTCGGGGTGCCTGTTAGCACCTCTATGGGCTCTAATGTGGCCCAGCAGTGAGTGGGGGTTCATGCCAGGCCTTTGTGTCTGGGACAGGATGCAGAGGTCAGCATCTCATCGGAAATGTCCCCTCACCATCTTGGGTATCTGTGGGGGAGATTTGGTGCTACCTGGGAATGGGGATGGTGTAAGAAGCCTGACAACCCTGTTTGCTGAGCCTGTGTGTGATGGTTCCACAGGTGAGTGTTGCTCCATGCACCCTCTGATCCTTTTTACTGTCCCTTTCTCCTGCAGCAAACTCCTCCCTTCAGGAGAGGATGAGGAGACCACGGGCAGCCCGGGGCGCCGCCGCGCACAGAGTTTACCCCTCGACAAGTGCACTGGTGAAGCCGGCCAGAAATCTGCTGGCTGCCTCTCAGACACTGCCCTGGTGATGTGATTAGGCAGCCACCGTCCCTCCTTGGGGACACCTGAACCTACCTCAAAGGAAGAGACAGGAGCTGACTCCAGAGACTGTGGGAGCCCCTTGCACTGCACACTTGCTTATGGGCTGTTTTTAAGAGAGGGATATTTTACTGGGCAAAGGGAAGAGCTGTTTAGCTTCAGACTTTTAAAACACAAGAAATCTCCTGATGGCAAAAGGCTGAGGAAGTCTGGTTCGTCTGGCCTTTGTCTTGGGCTTTTGTTGCAGCCTGGTGTGGTGGCAGCTTCCCTGCTGCGTGGGAGCTGGCTGAGCTTGGGGCCAGCCTGGCTTTCCCTTTCCCTGGCTACCTGCGGGCGGGCCCTGCTTGCTGTGCACTGTGCACCCGTCCTGAGCCGAGGGGAGCCCAGTGGAGCCCAGTCTGCTCTGGCCTCACTGCAGCCTGGCCCCAGGGCAGGGACTGGCAGTCCCAGGAGAAAAATAGCACCCTGGTTCTCCTGCCATCACTTGGCTCCTCTGCGAGGAGCAGGCTTTGAGGCTTAGCTGACCTGTTATGTCTTTCCAGAAAGCCTGTGCCAAGATCCTTCCCTGGTGCCCTTCCCCAGCCCTGGGGCCTGAGCCTCGGGCGCGCACATCACCTCTGCCCGCCTGCAGAGAGCTCCTGCCTCTCCCGGCAGCGCGTGCACAGGCGGCGCGGGCTGGTGCTCTCCCGGCGGGCTCTGATCTCTGTTTTACCTTTGTTTCTCAAGGATCTCTATTAAAGTTGAGCACACTCAGCTGTTCTCAGGGTCTTGACTTTGCTGCGTTTCCCTGGTGTATCTGGGTACAGTGGGCAGCTCAGTCGGGTTCTGCTTGCCGGGGGCCACTTTGGGGCTTGATCTGGAGCTTTTCCTTCACCCTGGGGCTGCGAGGGCTGAGGCAGACGTGAACTTGGGCAGCACTGTGCCAGCTTGCTGTGGGCACTGTCTGCTGTGCTTCCCTACGTGTCCCTAGGGCTGCAGGAGCCTTTAGTCCCAGCTCCAGGGCAGTGGGAGGAACAAGGTCTGCCTGGGGCTGGGCAGAGGCCCTTGGAGCATTCCTCTCCCTTCCCCGAAGTGTAAATCCTTCCCTGAGCTCGGGAGAGTGCCCGAGTCCCAGGTGTTGGGCTCCCCGCTCCTGTTGCCGCCCAGCTGGGCCAGCCCCTCTCGGGGCCGGCCTTGCTCCGGGCTGAGCGCTGCCCCCCGGCTCTGGGGCTTGCAGAAAGCCCTTCTCCCCGCAGCCCCCAGCGCCTGCAGCTCCCTCCATGTTTCTCCAGTCTCCTTGGTGACAATCTTGTAGCTCCTCGGCTTCTCTCCAGCGCTCTAAAATAGCTGCCAGGGTGCGAGCATGAAAGGGGAGAGGCTCCCCCGGCTGCTGCCAGCAGCCCTTTGGGGGCCGTGCGGGTGCCGGCCCTGCCTCAGCGGCTGCGCGCGCTCCCCATCGCACCCCAGCGCCGCGGGGCCAGGCCCCCTGCTGTGCCCTCGCCCTTGGCCCTCCTCTTCCTCCTCGCACCCTGCTTGTGGAGGCAGGATTTGTACCTCTTACCCAGGGCTGGGTGCTTGGGGCTGGCTCCCTCTCCCCTCGTACACCCAGCAATTTGGGGAAGTTGTATTTTGGGAAGTTGTCGGCTGTGATTTAAGCCCTGCCCTGGTCACATCTCCTGCTTGTGGCACAGTGACCCGGGGACCCTGCAGCCCTCAGCAGGCTGCTCCGCAGCTGTCCCTGGGGGTCAGCTGGAGCCACCGTGTCCCCTGGGCTCCCCAGGGCAGGACCAGTGGCCACAGGCCTGCTCCCCCACGGCTGTTCCCAGCCTGGCACGGCAGCCGGCCAAGGGGTTATTTGAACCTTCCTGAAATAGAAATGGAGCTGGGAGCAAGCGAAGAGGGGCAGGGGGTGGCCCAGATGGGTGAGAAAAGGGGTTCCCCTCGGCAAAGAGATTCCCCTCTCATGAGACTGGTGAGCAAGGGCTGAATCAGAGGACCCTGAGGACAGAGAGCTCAGGGCTTCTCCCCTGTCCCCAGCTGCTCCGACTGCCCCCAGGCAGGGACAGGATCTTTCTCTCCTGCAGCCCTGGGGGACATTGTGATAGCCCCATGGCAGGCAAGAGGGTGTCCAGGCGCTGGCAGCACCCGGGCACACAGGGCTGCATCCCGAGAGGCGTCGAGTGCCACCCGGGAAGGCGAAGGGGCTGCAAGGGGCAGGTTTCCTGC